CTACGACGACTACGAGCAGGAGCAGGAGCCGGAGTCGCAGTCGTACTTGTAGTCGCAGCAGCTGTCGAAGTTGCTGCTGCTACTACTACTACTACTACTACTACTACTACTACTACTACTACCACCACGACGACGACGACTACTACTACCACTACTCTTACTACTACTCTCTGCCACTGCCAATGCTACCGCTACTGCGATGAACTACTCCTGCTGCAGCTGCCGCTGCTGCTACTAGTAGTAGTAGTAGTAGTAGTAGTAGTAGTAGTAGTAGTAGTAGTAGTGGCAGTAGTGGCAGTAGTGGCAGTAGTGGCAGTAGTGGCAGTAGTGGCAGTAGCAGTAGCAGTAGCAGTAGCAGTAGCAGTAGCAGTAGCAGTAGCAGTAGTAGTCGTCGTCGTCGTCGTCGTGGGAGTAGTGCTAGTCGTCGTCGTGGTAGTGGTAGTGGTGGTGGTGGTGGTGGTAGTGGTGGTGGTGGTAGTGGTGGTAGTGGTAATGGTAGTGGATGGTAGTGGTAATGGTAGTGATGGTGGCAGTGGTAGTGGCAGCGGTAGCGGTAGCGGCAGTGGTAGCGGTAGGGCTTGTGGTAGTTGTAGTGGTAGTAGCTGGAACGCCCGGTGGATATAGGGGGCTAGAATGCCTCAGACATCGGGAATCTGATCACACATGTTTGCAGCAAAACCATGTATCTATTGCTAGCAGTAGCCAATGGCAGCAAGTAAGTATTTCAAAGTGATAGTGAGTAGTAACTTGCATTAAGTTGCATTCATCATGTAGTAAGCAGTAATCATCCAGATTGTCGGGGTCATAGTCACGGCCGATGGCAACATCCTGTCGAAACGTGCTTAGTCTGCAGCCTGGTTCAAGAAGTCTTCCGTGCGCTCCTGCGGACTGCTTAGCAGTTGCTTCAGGACTGACTTGGCTCGAATCACACGCTCGTGACATCAACCTTTCCGGCATTCGGCAGATGATCATTTTCATCCAGTTGCTTTGCTGCTCGAACATGGCAAAGACGGCTGCGCAATAATTCCAGTTTGATGAACAACAGCTCCCGAGACTGGACAGATTCTTTCACTTTTAATTTGAGCGGTCCTGAGGATTTGCTGCTGCACATACAGGTTTTTCGCACAGCTTGCCAACCATGCTTGGATGGAGCGTCGCTTGCTCTGGAAGTGCTTGTGCAGGTTGTAGGGAGAGCATGCGGCTGACAGTTCAAACCATGACCGGCGAACTGGACTTGTAGCCCATGGCCCAAGCGTATGAAATTCCTGCTCACTGAACCTGATGAATTATCCATGGAACTAGGTTCATGTAAGGCTTTACATAGACATCACGGCATCAGGTGTCAGCAGAGGCCGGCTTGACCGGATTGTCCTGTAGACCTGCAGTGGTGGTCGTGAAAGCTGCGAGGACGGCATGGGCGAGGCCAAGCCAACATCCACGACGCGGGGGCAACTGCCAGGCTGCAACGGTTTCTTCGTCAGCCGGTGCTTAGGTGGTCGTACTTGGAGCAACACATGATCTGAAGAAGAAGAAGAACCACCAGTGTGTGCCTGATGCGTTCGTGATGTTGCTCGTATTCTGAACATCTCAAGCTGGGACAGCGCTGCGCTTCACATGAAAATGTCTGAAGTGCTGTTCCAGTTGCATCTGATCCGCCTCTTCCGAATTTGCCACAGAGCGTCGCCGCGAGGCATACCTGCTTCAGTCGATCGGGTCTCTGCAGATTGTATCTGGAAGACACTCTGCACTGGTGCGAGCCTCGAGGAAGGAATTGCAACGCGGGAAGCTGCACCCGCGTTCGGGTGTTGCCAAGCTGTTGCATGTCTGGTAAGACATAGCCCTGAGGCGAACATGAGTACGTGCGTCATCGGAAGCTGCACCCGGCCAAGCCGCGCTGCATCCCTAGACACGGGTCCGCGTTTTGCGAAGGTTGGGCGAGGAAGGGATAATCTTTAGCTCGGCGCCAGGGTGGCAAATGGACTTTCTGCATGACAAAAGAAGATCGGATACGTGGAAGAGTGGTAGGCCAGATGTGACGATGCACGGGTCCACGAGGTGAGCTGCTGTTGTCGCAGCTGCATGGCTTTGAAGTCGTTGGCTGCTCAGTCGAGGGGTTGAGAGAGATGCTGGAGATGCTTTCCCGGTGCCGGTTCATATGGCAGGTCAAAAACGCATCGTACATCAGCGTTCGCAGGCGGAAGCCTACTGGTGAGGCGCGCCCTACATGATTGCATCTCGAAACCTGCCGGCGTAGGACCTTCCAGAAGCTCTGCGTCTCTGCAGGAGCTGCAGGGTTCAATGAGCCGCTTTGTAGGCGACGACACCAAGGACGTTGCGTTGGTGGCTTTTTGCACAACCTGGTGTTGTTGACGACTTTGTGGCATCGTTTTCGCTTCTGGAGTGCTCACACAGTCATATCAAGTCCACGTCGTGGTGACACTGCCATGCTCGAGGAGAGATATGGGCCTCCTCCGTTCGTCATGCCCGTTGTCGAGGCAAGACTTTGCAGTCGCTCTTTTTTGTTCCATTGCCGCGAGACGTTTGTGAAAGGGGCTCGAACCGACAGGTGACGCCTGAACGTCCACCTTTACAACTTCCGAAATATGGGCGTTTCTCTTGTGATCACATGCATCTCGCCTGCATTTGGCAGGCAAGGAGCACTCATCTCAAGCATTGTAGGCGAAAGCGAGAGGCCCGCTGCTCCATTGCCTCATGTAGCATAGTTGCCGTGTGTGAGTGTGCTGCATGGAGGGAGGCCCAGATGTGAAGCATGTGTGGATCCTCGAATGTACAGTGACTATAGCGTGGACTTCCAACCAATATGCTGCGATGAAAGGGCATTCAGCCTTGTACGATCTTGTGTAAAGCACGGTATAGTATATACTTTGTGTCCCTTATATGATCTTTGATGCCAAGGTGTCCACTCGAGGTCAACCCTGACGCTTCTCAGACAGGAGGGCGTCGGAACCGTGTGCAGGGTGGCAGCACCGGTGGGCATGGTGTTCGAATCACTGTCTTTGAAGTTGCTGCCAACGAACATCATCAAACTACCTGGAGTGTCATGGTGCGTAATGTTAACGTCGAGCCGCTGATGCTCCAGCAAACCTTCAGGAAAGAGCCTGGCGCGGGTAATGTCAATGCCATCTGTGAAGTCGCTGGAGGCAGGAAAACTACGTAACCTGTGCGGAAGGGCAGAGAGGGGCTGAGTTGGACGGGTGGAACTGAAGTTGCGGGGTTTGTTGCACTGAAGCGAAGGGGCGATGACGCCTCGGGGCCAAGCTGAGCCTAGCTGAGCAGCTGGGCTCTTGGTAGCGAGATGTAGGTCGATTGCCGAGATCCAGGGCGAGGTGCAGGGTGAAGCAGGAAGTCTTTGCTCCTCCAACCCTGTGATGCCAAGCGCGCTTTGGACTAGCTCTACTGCCTTCCTGCCGCATCCTGTGCCCATCGCCGTTTGGCTGCGCAGCGCGCAGGTGTGTGTATAGCTGTCATGGTGCCGGCTTTTTCCCAGGAGCCGCGGAGCCGCAGCTCTGCCAATTGTTCGCCAGACGGCGAGATTTTGTGTGCAGGGCAAAGCGTGGTCTTGATTAGGGGCAGGACCGCATACCCAAACGGGTCGCGCGAGAAGGTGCAGGTGGTGCAGGCGGAGCAGCGTCCAGATCTTACTTGCAGCCCCCGTCCTTTTGAATCCTCTTTCAGATACTTGCGCCGTGCGCCGGCTAGTGCCGTGCCTCGCCTTCTTGACATTGAATTTGTTTGTGCCGACACCAGAGAAGGTTGCCCTCGCGAACGCGAGAGGAGAGCAGAAAGAGGCGCTTGACAGACTTTCATCTGGGTTGCGTACATTGACCTCCTGTTTCGGCCTTGCCGAATGAAAAGGTTCGAAAGCTTCGGTTCAGGGTAGCCAGAAAGATCTTATGTGGTACACTGTTGATCAGCGCAGACCGTCCGCTGGAGGGTGAAAAGGGTTCGGGGCTTTCGGATAGCTGCAGTCCGACAGCTTCGGTTCAGGCTGGTTCAGGGCAGCCAGAAAGATTTGATGTTTCACATGTTGATCAGCACAAGCCGCCGCCCCCTATGCCAAAGCCACGTGAGCGACCAACCGAATGCCACGACAGTCCGGACAGAAACTACGTGGGCCTTGTCGAGGGCTTCAGAGGATTTTATGCTCAGCCTCCGGAGAAAGCTTCGTCAATTCGGCAAGCGCATGCTACGATTAGTGCAGATGTGGAGGGCTTATCTAGGTTATCTAGATGGCATATAGTCTAGGTGTCGGAGTCATGAAGAGAGGCAGCCTGCCGGGACCATTCACGCAGCTCAGGCCCAAATGCCGAAGTGCAAGTTGTCCAGTGGAAGAGGGTTCGAAACTACTGGGACATGCTCGGTGCACGGGGATGGGTTCCAACGGCCCGAAGCAAACCTCCAACGCTGCTCGGTGTGATAGTATCTACAGATTTGTTTGGCTTCTTGGCGAGCCCGAGCCGCGCAAATGGCATGGCTTGTAGCAGCGGCAGGCCTAGATGTCCTGTCTATCAATGTTGACCACCACCCTCTGATGACCGTGCTGCATGGTGAGAAGGGATAGGCAGCAAGTTGCTGCTTGCTGATTCAAGTTTCTAAATGTGCTGGAACTGAAGTTGGGAAGCTGGATTCCCCAGTGCATAACTATCTTGACAGTCCCCCTCCGCGCTCTTGACGACTGAGCTTGACACTTCTTCATGTACACTCGCCCGCCATACCCGATTCATGCCGCCGGCGCATGAACCTTGATTGAAGTCAGCTGTTGTTGCACACTGCCAGCATGACCATAACCATTCTTGGTACTTTTCTACTGCTCACTTGACGATGACGACCACTACTACTACCACTACTACCACTACTACCACTACTACCACCACCACCACCACCACCACCACCACCACTACTACTACTACTACTTCTTTTTGTGTGTCTTGGGTATGGCGACTTATCGTTCTTGATGTTGCACTTCCGTCGAGGTCATATCTCCCACCGGGAGACGACCACTACACCGATGACTGGGTCGGCGGCAACTCGCGACGGCCTCAGCGACAGGGAGGACCTGAGCAGATCCTCGGTTCTGCATAGCCTGCTCGGCATATTGGGCGTTGTCTGACACGTACAGGGTTCTGTGACACGCAGCTTGGACATGTGCCCTCCGGCTTGCTCCCAGGTCCTGGCGACACTACATGACGCAGTTCAGTGGTCTGGGCTCCAAGTACTTTGCCGTTTCAGGGATGTCGGTGTGCGGTGCACATGTTCTGTCAGTTTCACTCAGGCGCCAGGTCCATGAGGCGCTTGTGCACTTGTGAGTGAAGCTACATGAAGCTGCAGGCAAGGCCGCAGACTACAACAAGTACCTGTCGGAGTGACCTTCCCAGTCATCAGGTCCTTGAATCATTCGTTTGGAAAAGCATCAGCGGGACGTACCAGCGACGAATCAACCTGACAATGTGCAGGTACGGTGGAAAACAGGCAAACTACGATCAGTATGTCAGTCGAGGGCTTGGCGTTGACGATTCCAGGTTTTCGAGGAGGAATGTGCTTGTCACGGTCGCATGCAGATTATGTTCGGCTCTGCTTCCAGCCCATGCCGATGCGAGGTCTGTACGCCTCCATGGCAGGGCCCGGAGTGACCTCTGGCAGCAACTACAAGGGCAAGGGGTCAGGCGCCGAGGCTTCATCACTTGCACTGTGGCACAAAGCATGGTTGACCCTGCTTTTCGAAGAGCCATTTCGATCCCGAGAAGGCGCTTTCGGCTTCAAGGGTCCCGACGTTTCGGGCAGCAGGGACTCGAGTCGGTGCAATGGCTGACAGCGTTGCTGAAGTTACCTTCGAGGTGGATCCCTCAGAAGCGTCGTCTCTTGAGAGGTCCTCTCTCATGTGCTGCAATGTTCAATGAAGATTTTCCATACCTTGCAGGTGTCCCTCTTGAGCGGCACCACCGCATCAATCTCCTGCCCTGCAGATGCAAGCCTGGGATCTCTGGTGCATGACATTGGCTTGAAGTTGGGCCTGATGAAGGAGAAACAGATGCTGGGGCCTCGGTCGCTTCTTGGAGCGGTGCGGCCGGCG